ATAATCATAATAGAAATAAACAAAACCTAGGATAAATAAAAAATTACTTAGGCTATACCATATGCATGTGTTATGAATTTAATGAAATTTTTACATTAAAAACAATGGCAGTAATGAAATTTCAGAGAAATTGGCTAATTTTTAAATATCATTAATGTAGAAGTACTATGGAAAGTGGATAGCATAACCTTTTGTAAAGATATTATCTAAAAACTTGCTTACTTCAACAAATTGTGATCGCAAAGAATAAAGCCTAGGATGAATGAAAAAATTATACTTAAGAATCAAAATTAAAAAATTCAGCGATACGAATAATATTCTAAGTTGCTCCTATTCTTTGTCCTAAGCTCATTAAGTAAAAGAAGCTCTAACCATAGGAATATTCTAAATTGAGACTCAATACCTTTAGCAGTCATAATTATCACAGTTACTTCTGCAACATGTCATTGATAGATGGTATCACTAAAATCAAACTGGTAACTGGTAAAAGAACAAAATTAAATGAAAAAGAACAGCGCAAAATGTTATGTTGAATTGAACTGCATCTTCATTATGCAATTCTATTTTCATATATTTTCTAAGCCATTCCATTTTACTCCAATCGAGGCTTAACTGAAATAACATCTGCCACCTCACGATTTGGAATTGATAACTTTCGCTAAAAAGAGATTGAATTATTTGACAAGCAATACTAACTTTGGAAAAATGGTAGTAATTTCCTAAGTTTACAACAGACATTTATTTGAAAATTTTCAAATAAATTATGAATGGGTTTGAAATATTTCGTTTACGTATAATAAAATATAATTCTTTTGAATGAATAAGAAACAGAACATAAAACGTAATTAAATGTAAGTTTAAATGATGAAATATATGATATAATTTATGCAAAACAAACAATGCAAAAGTAGAATAATATTTGTAAGCACTTACTTTTTGATTTCTCAGTGATAGGATTGCTTCGCGAGGATAAACTTTTCGCTTATTTGGCGGTATGTAATCACAAAGGCCATTGTTAGTGAGAATTTTCGCAATTTCAGTTACAGATGATCCTTAAATAAACTTTAGATTAACTAAAGAACTTTACATATCTCATATCTAAGAGAGTCAAAAATTCTACTTCATCGTTGAAAATTTTATATTTTAATTTTTAAAATATTACCATTTAATTCAAATGCTCTAACAGAAGCAAGAGCACCTTCGAAGCTTACAACTATTACTGCGAAATGATCAATATTTTCCAGGATGCGACAAGCAACTTTTGCAAATGCTGATGTTGGATTGGTAATACCATATAGCACACATGGAGTAGCCTGAAGATCTTTCATACAAATCAAATGTTCAGAGGATAATTCAATCCAATCTACACATTCTACGAAATTGTGATTTCTAGAATGCTCAGATCAAGATGAATCTATTCCGTATATCGCAATTTGGCGTCATCACACTACCTTTGTTTTTTTTTTTTTTTATTTTATGAAACAGAGTCACCAGTTATGTGCAACTAAATCATAAGGACACATTTAAAAAACTTCCATCCGCTAAGCAGAAATAATCTTTTTTTAAGATAAACTAAAAATTCGTCATTTATACCTCAGAATCTTACAATTTCACTTATCTAACTAGTATAACACAGATGATAAGTAATTCGTTTGAAGTTTTAACAATATGAAAGCTCACTCTAGCTGGTACAGATGCCAAATAATCGCTTATAACTTTCAACGTGCTCATTGGCACTACCAACGTTTGCCCCACATCCAACGCATAGATACGAACTTTTTTGTCACCCAATTCTTCCAATACGCGGCATCGAAATGGTATTTGATTTGGCGCCTTTGGTGCTGCAACCAACAGTTCATTTTCCTGGAAAATATAAAAGCACTCAGCAGTACATCATCAAAAACTTCTAAAAAGTCACCAAAATTTATTTCATATTCGATTTTATCCAACAATTTTCCAAAAAATTCGTAATATAGAATTTATACACAGTAAGATCTAATCCAGCATAAGCGTTAAAGAAAGGCGGAAAACTAGGATGAGAATGAAAATGAGGACTAGCAGAATTAGCCAGGCAATTAGTCAAATTAGTTAGCACCAGCATCCTTTTATGCCCCAAGAATATGCAAGTTCAGTAAGAATCACTACTGAAGATTGCGAATAGATATACAATGGATTAAAGTATTTTTTAAACGCAAAAAAAAAATCCTTACCACAACATACGTCACCTGAGGTGCACGTTCAAAATGAGCCACAATATGACCGTCTAATTCTTCATTGGTAATTATTAAATTCTCCGCTTCGCATACATAAGTTTTACTAAGCACATAAAATATCATTGGCCAATGCAGAAAATCCGTAATTGGTTTAATCAGTTCAACCTAAAAATTGGCATTTTTCGTATATTTTTAAAAGTTTACCATTATCATCAATTCGAGTCATAAATCCACATGAATGATGGAAATTTTCACACAAAATTAAATCCAAAATATACCTCGCTTCAAGACTTACACCCTCCAGCTCCTCCAAAATCCTACCTATTAACACGAATTATTACTGAATTCAAATTAATTTCTTCAATATCAGGAAAGGAGAAAAGAAAAAAAACCTCGACTGGCTTTCCCCACGGTAGATACATATGACGATGAAAGCGTTCACTGTAGATAATCGATTTACGAGTATTTCCACCAGCCAAAACTAATTCCGGTTTATCAATAATGGAAAAATAACTGAAAGAGAATAAAATTCAAACGATATTTTCCATTCCGGTGATTACTGATGATTTCAACTCTTTTCTCTGATTCCCCTAGTTTTTTTTCTTTTTAAAAAGAAGTTTCATTGACTAAATGCTAAGCCTAAACTAGAATTTAAAAATTACTGAAATGATTACCAGTATTATTTTGCACTATCCTAAGACATGATAATAAAATAACCTTTTCATTCGTTCCGTTTCTCTATCAACAGCCGTTGATAAATCTGTTTTCCAATTTGTATTACCTTTCTGTTTTACAAATTGGATCTAAAAAAATCAATCAGCCTGACAATAAAAGCATAATATTTCTACAAATACAAATTAAAAAAATTCCTATCAGTGAATTCCCTTCTTTCATTCACCGCCCTCTTTCCTTTCTTT